CAAGACAAAAAAAATTCACCTGTACACAGAGGTAATAACACTGATGTCAGGCATGCACAGAACACCTTAAAAATAATGAGCAAACACAACTCAGTAGAAGCTTTGCAGCATCTCTCAGGCTGTATTATGATTGCATTGCGCAAAAAGGCCCAGAAGCAACTTGAGCTTATTTTGGATTGATGGTTTTTGCAGTTTCTCTTCCTAGAGTGAGAGCTTGGGCTAGTTTCCCACCCTAAACGCCATTACTCTGTGTGCTTGCTTGTGCTTGTGCTTCTTCTTCTTCCCCCCCCAGCTCTGGTGCAGTAGGATTTTACTTCTCAAAATGGTTGCACATCCCTTGCTTTCCTTGCTTTAAGCTGCCTTACATTTGCCGTGCCCATTGCACGCAGGTGGACTCAGTTACATCCTTTATTTCCCAGTTCTGCCAGCCCAGGCTCAAGCCCATGCCTCGTTACAGAGTTAATTGCATCTTTTTCAGAGTTCCCACCCGGGCAGCAGCAACAGCTCTCTCTCTCTCCCTCCCGGGCAGGCACACTGGTGCTCTGCAGTGGTATATGCAGGTGTAGGCAAGTAAGCTGATCAACGCTCATCTCTGGTGGATCACTGCTTCCAGTCAAATCTGGGGGAGACAGGAAGGGTTTCTCAGAGTTAACATCAAATTTTCAAGAGAAGTATGAAGTAGCTGGCAGTAAATGTTTATGGGCTTTATTGATCTGAACTGATACTACTGCTTTATGTCATTGCAACCACTGTAGTGGAAAATCCAAACCATGCTTAAATGGGACCTGTGTTTTGTGAATCCTCTGAGGCTGAAGTGCAGGGGTTTAATTGCTACTGGGCAGTGGGATTCACGCTGTACCTCCTCCTGCAGGCCAGCGAGAAGCAGGTTCACTTCGTCGTGTCGCGGCAGACCAGGCAGCAGACCCCTGACATCTTGCAGGAGGCAGGCTGGAGTTACGGCGGCGGCAGCCCCCAGCCCTGTTCCGTTGAGAGAAATAACCCCGGCAAGGTGAGGGCACGGGCGCTTGTGTGGTTTCTCTGCCATCTGTGGGACAGGGGAGTGGGAGGGCAGCTAGCAATTTAGTGTCTTGGGGTGTTATAGAGATAACTAAATTGCTAGGTTTCTGTCACCAGCAGAAATGTGTCTTATTTTGCAATGGAAATGTAAAAGCTGTGCTCCTTGTTATTTATACACTACTTCTGCCCTGGCTCCATCTGGGATGGGGTGAGGAGGGAAGGAGAAGGTGAAGGGCATTGGTGGGGCTGATGTGCACACTGCGTCCTGGCCATGGGCATGGACCTGGCCGGCAGTGTGAGCCAGCACAGGGCAATGCGCTCCAGTGAAAATAAGAGGCTTACCTGAAGTTTCTCCATCTGGAGCAAAGTCTTCAGGCAAAAAGCTTTCATATGCTGGCCTGAGAGATTCCCATAAGCTGCTTGAAATTTATGGTAATTATTAGTCTGTTGTTCATTTCTTAAGATACCCATGCTCTGACCCAGCTGGCAGTTCAGCAGCAGGCGGTGACTGCAGTCTCCCTGTCTGCTGTGAGCATGCTGTCTTTCTGCGGAACTTTGGACCCAAAACCTGTTGGTTCTGCTCTGGCAACACCTGGCACTGGCACGGGATGGGGGCTGTGAGGGCTGGCAACGCGCAGCACAGCCGGACCCGACCCAGGGCCACATGGCCCAGAGCAACCGTTTCACCCAGATGTGGCTCTGGCTACCAAACTGTCCTTCAAGCCGCTCCTCCGTACCCGGTTACATCGTGGATTTAATGCAGAGAGCATATTGCAAGTCTAAATGCACAAGGCAGAGAGACTGTCCTGGTCAAATATAGGAGGCTTTAAAGCGGAAACTAATGCAGCAAGAGCTTTGAAAATGCCTTTTTTCTGAGTTTGCTCAGAGTTATTCTTTGCACTATAGGCAGAACCAGGTATGTCCTTGCAGGAGCTGATTTTCTTTATTTCACTAAATTTAAAGTCGCGTGCCTGGCTAATTGGCGTTAATCGCTCTGAGTGCCACCACTTATGCAAACCCTTGCAAGCTGGTCCCCTGGCCACCTGTGCCAGGGGTGCATCAGGGAGGTGGACAGGCAGGGCTGGTTCAAATCCATCCTGCCTGATGGGCAGCCAGATGTGTCCTTCGAGGGACCTTTGGACTGAACCAGCTGTCAGATCAGGTGCACAGCTGTCAGCTAGGAAACAAACCTCACTCTGCATTTTATAAATGCTTAAAGATACCCATTTTTTGCAGGTTTTTTGAAACTACATTATTCAGTGGTTTTTGTGTATGTAAAAAAAATACACTAGTGTCTGTTTATCTATTTTTAGTTTTCCTTTTCCACAAAGTCACAATCATAGCCCTTGTTAGGCGAGACTGGATCAGCGGGAGTTAAACCAGAAAGCAGAGTCAATGCTTGGTAGCTACTACCCAGTAGCAAGTAGTGCCCAACTAATCATGCATCTGCAAGGCATTACTTCCTAATGAAGTAATGATTTCCTTAGGGAGATATGTGTAGGACAGCAATTAGCTTGTGTTGCTACTGTATGATTTCTAGCGAAGCTCCAAGCACCTGCTAGCTCTACCGCATTGATCTGATTAATTGATACCACATGGGATTACTTGGGAACATGACTTGTGTTCCATAAACTGCCCTAGATCCTCATTTTCTTTTCCTCTATGGAGAGGTGTTAGATGGGAATTCTTGGTAAATCCAACATTATTTTGGGAAGCTGGGAGATTGAAGGGCCAATGCTGACCTTGCAGCAGTCCTTTAAAGACTAATGAATCATCTTTTGTTGGATAGGTTGTGGCTTTTTGGAAGGTTTCCAATTTGCCATGAGAGGTGGGCGCTACACAAGCGCATGAGTGGGTATGCTGCTCTGGGCTTCTGTCCAGTGCCACCATTTGGGCACTTTCCAGGGAAGATCACAGCCAAAAAAAAAAAAAGAAAATTCTGAGCTGTTCCTAGTCCCCTTTAGCTTTGTGTGTTTGTGGTGGAGGGCTTGTATTGGAGAAAACGCTCTGGCAATAGATCAGGAGATCAGTACAGCCAGTGGACATGATGAGCTTCAGGCACTGCAGGCTTTTGGTCTGATACAATCATTACTGGAGTGTTATTTGCCCTTTTACAGGGTTTGAGTGTGTCAGTTTGCATTTCTCACGCTTTTATGCTGAAGGTTTAACCGAACATCATTTGCAATTCAAGTTCTTTAAACTCTAGGCTTTGGCAGGCTTAAAATGGTATTTGTTTTTAAATAGACGTTAGTGCGGGAGTAATGCTTGCAAGCCTAGGGCCTGCGCAGTGTCCTAACGCAGCACACGCTTCTGCTCAAAACCAAGGCAATGTTTGTTGGCTGGGCTTTACCATCAGGGGAATTTCCTATGTGTGCATGGTTTGAGGAGTCTGCTACCTGGTGCCATCAGTGGGGTTGCTTTATTATGTGTGATTGATAGAGAGATTACTAACTGACTTGAATTCTGGTTAATTGTAGGGTGCTTTTTGTCCTCTGAGCTTGCCATAAGAGGTGATGTTAGCAGGTCAGGAATGCTCTCTGAGGCAAGCAGCTCTTGCTGTAGAGCACGTATATAAACATGGGCTCTCAGGCCTTGCCTGGGTTCGGCACAGAGAATAAACTCCAGCCTCTAGCAGCCGTCTTGCTCGTACGATGGCTCAGGAGCCGCTTTTGGCCAAGCCGTTGCCCTCACAACAGCCTGCCTCCATCTGGAAAGCGGGCGGAGGCAGCTCTCTTTCGGGCCGATGCTGTCGGCAATCAGCCACGCAGCCCACAAGACGCTGGGGAAAGAGGAGGATGGTCCATAGTGAACATGTCCTTCCCTGGTGGCAGTGATGCTGGGTGGATGGTGTGCTGGGAGACTGGACCTGCAGAGGATCTCACCCGGCTGTTTTCCTGCGTACAGAGGTAGGGGAGGCACAGCCCAAACTGTTCTGGCTGCTGCCTGGATTCAGAAAAGAGAAGATGTCAGAAACGCTTTCTTGTGCAGCCTGAGGTTGTTAAGCCAGGCTGTAACGCATAAACAGGCCAGATTCGATTTCTTTGAAGTCAGTGGGAGCTTTGCCATTAATTAAATAACACTTGGTTTTAATTGGAACTGTTTTCTTACTTCTTGCTAACAAATTGGCTAGAACTTAAAACAAACCCATCGCCCTGTTGGTTGGGCAGGCGGTGGTTTCTGACCGTACGAGCAGGTTAGCCTTCAGGTGAAGTACGTTTTTCCAGACAGGCGCAGCTATGTCTTCTGCCTGCAAGACACGTGTCGCAGCTTTGATGTTGTGATAATCTGCTGTAAATATTTATTTTCCAGTAAATATACAGAAAAGGGAAAAAAAAATTAAAAAGGAGATGAACTGTTATGTTTTTCTTCTCCTGACCTCCGAGGTCACTTCAAAATGACAGAGAAGGACAGTTGTTTAGAAGAGAATGCATTGAAATGCAGTCACTGATAAACATTGCCTTTTAACTGGTTTGCTCATTATCAGCTGTACCTCCAAGAAAGCTCTACGTGTGTTTACTAAGGCAGGCTTTACTTTCCTTTCATCACTGCCTTCGTCCCAGCCCAGTCGCCCCACTCCCTTTCTATCTGCAGCCATGTAAAAAATGACGTGGAAGAGCAGCTTCAAAGGAAAACTGGTCCTGCATCGTTGAGCACATAAGTACCAGTGCTTTTATGATTCCTCATTGAAATTTAACAGGACAATTTGTTTCCAAGCACTGCTTTGAAATTTGCTTCTCCCTGCGCCGATTCCTCAAAAATAGAGCATTAGCTGGTGTATCAGCATTAACCGGTGTATCAGCTAATGCCTTTGGTGTCTGAGACATGACGGACACTGCATAAGTAACAGGATTGGTCTGAACACTTGGAGCTGCAAGTCTAATTCCAATTTCATGTTTTGCTACAAAATTGCAGGCTGCATTTTTGTGAAAATGAGTCGTGCCCTATCCCACACACTTCTGGAAGTGGCCTTTTCCTGATGGAAAGCCATTCCTTTCCAAGGGAAGAAGGACAATGCTTTCGCACAGACGTGGATAAAGCATTAAGTTTAGTTTGCACAAAGGTAGAACTACTATGTTTAAAACACTTACACCTTAAAGGCAAAGGTGAAAGGTTAAAACTATCTGGACTAGAACATTTATACTTTTAAAAAAGGGAATGTTCTAAAACCCTCAGAAACCTTTAGGTTCATTTGCAAGCCATAAGCCCAATTACCCTGACACAGTGCCTGTGTTCTGTACAGATCAGATGTGATATGCCCAAACAGCTACATCAGTTTCTTTTTTGTCCCAGTGACTAAGAGAAGACCTTTTCCACCAAGCAATTTGCCTTTTTGTTCCTGGAGTTCTTTTGCAGCCACTGTTCTTCTGCTCAAACATCTAGAGATACTTTGCTAAGCTGCTAGAGGGCTCTGGGTTTTGTTGTCGATGTGTCACAGAAATCCTGCTGTGGAGTTACTTCCACCAAACATGCCTTGGAAAAAAAAACCCTCAAAACAAAGATATAGCCTACCCTACTCCCATAAAAACTTCTTGACAAGCTGTTTTCCTTGGCCCATCGTTGTCACTGCAGGAGCAGCCATGGACTTGCCCAGGAATTGAGGTGGAATGTCTTTGTGGGATCTCAGATTTCTGAGAAGACATTAATGAGGCTTTAAATGAGTTTTATAGATTACTTTTTTTTTGCATATTATAAATATGAAGTCACACTTGTGAATGAGGAGGTTGGTTGGGTTTTTTTTATATACATTTGAAATGTATTTAGCAGCAAACTATTATATCTACATATGAGCCTGGAATGGATGGGTTTGTTCTTGCAAGAGGGGCTGGGATCCTCAGGGGTTGATGCCAGCGGCACAGCTTATGAAATACTTAAGGAAATCAAAGCAATTAAAGTTTTAATCCAGATTTTCTGGAGAAGCATCCTTGTCTCTCAAACTCTCCTGCAAGAGCTGGATGCACTGCAAATGTTTTGCTGGAGCTTGTGTTGCCTCTCCACCTCAAGGCCGCCTGTGAGTTTGTTTCACCCTTGCCCATACACGAGTTATTGCATGCCCAGTGGTGTGTATGCAACTTTTCCTGTTCAGGGGGAGGAATAAGGGGATGGATGTCCTCAGACATTAGAGGTGGCTGTCCCAAAGTGACCTTTTAAGCACAAGCACTAGGAAGAGCACCCTGGAAGCTGCTGGCTCTTCACTCTGTAAATGTTCTTCTCTTTTCCTGAACAGAAACCCATATTCTTCGAGTGTATTCCTGCCAGTAACTTACATAGAAACACAGAAATCTGGAAGAGCAAATGAATTGTCTGTCTTCTAATCTGTCCCCAAGAGTTTTATTCCTTTAACCCAGGTGGACCATTTCTCATTAACTACACAGATGACATTCAGACTGCAAGCAGAAGGATAAGGATCGTGACCTGATAGTCAAAGATACGAGGACCGTTAGTGATATTAATATCAAGAACGTAGTTTGGTTTGGGTTTTTTGGTAAAAAATCAGATTCCTTATTTACATTTCAAAGACCCGCTCCTATTAGTCTCAACACTAAAACACTTCTGATTTGGGCGGGAGTGGTGCCTGACTTTAACTGTTAAAGCACGGATTATCTCGGTGGTAGCTCTGACTTGGCAGATGCCTGAGCCCTGGAGAGAGTCCCGTCTGCCATCTGGCCCGGCATGGCAGGCGGCTGTGAAGTGCCCCTCCAGTATTCCCCCGACGCATATTCATTTTGGTAGAAAATGCCTAAGATGTCAGGGAGGTCCCTGTGCCCACCACGTTTGTTGTTGCTGTTTTCTCCATCACAGAGCACCCTTCATGCCGTCACCTGTCACGAGAAGGTGGTGGCTGTCTGGAAAGATCACACAGAATCGCTGGGAATGACTGTAGCAGGCGGAGCATCGAACCGGGAATGGGATTTGCCTATCTATGTGATAAGTGTCGAGCCTGGAGGAGTTATCAGCAGAGACAGCAGGATAAAAACAGGTAAAAAGAGGGGATTTTGAAAGCCTGCTTTAATTCAGAGGCTTACTTTGGAAAACAGAGGGACAGTGAAAGAGCATCACGCCCTGACATCTTCAGCCATTCCATAGATTTTTTGGGATGCGTGAGATGAGAGGGTCTTGAGTCAGCTGCCAGAAAAGGTATAATGTGCAGCAGTAACGGTCTCTGTGAAGTGGGAGGTAGGAATATTCTGGTAGGAAAAAAACCAAACCAAAACAAAAAAACCCCATATTTTTTCACAGGAAAATGAGCTTGCACCACCATCTCCTAAGGACTGAAATCTTCATTGTGCAACATTCATGGGTTTTTAATGTACATTTTTGTGCTTGTTTGTCGTATCATTCATGGCTTTGAAAGAAATATAAAGGAGCAAAATTCCCATTATATATGAGGCAATGTTAGTGCCTTGTGGCTCAATATCATGTCTGGAAACAGTGGCTTCATAACTTTATTTGGCTCTTGGTGTAACAGGGTGATAAAATTAATAGCATCTCCCCCTCTGCATGAATAAGCCTTCAGAGCAAGATGAGGAGCATATTTATCAGTGGGGTTTGCGGGACTAGGTAGGCAGCAGAGGAATAGTGAAACTCTCAATTTTCGGGAAGTTACATCTCCAAGAGCCAAGTACCTCAGTACCCTGTGTCCAGCAACAACATGGCTCCCCAGCCCCTTGCCCTTCATCCCCTGAGCTCAGCTTCAGCCTGCTCGCTGCCTGGGATCTGGAGGGAAATCCTGAATGCAAGGGAAGTGAAGGCACCCGAAAGTGGGGCAGAATAGCTGCAGCCCAGCCAAGCCCCATGAGCCACAGTGCCCAGCACCAGGATGTGCGGAACCTCTGCTTTGCGGGAGCTATGGCTGCTCATCGAAACCCCCCGTGTAAGAGCGTGACAACAGGAGCAAACCAGCAGGTTTCCCCTCTCCTCCTGCTGGGAAATGACTGCCTCTCAGTGGGATACATTTTCCAAAAAATATTCATCATGAGGCAGCATGGAAAATTCAGCCTAGTTAATTTGATAAAATTAGAAACAAATGAATACGTGACATTATAACAGCGCCATAAGCCTCCACGGTTTAGAGCAGCCCTTGGGCTGTTGTCTGACTCGTCGGGGCAGACCATGAGAAGAGGTTAATGTCCACATCGCGCTGCCTGGACTGCCGGTGAGCGCAGCCCCTGCCCGGAGGTGCATGCAGGTGAAGCGCAGAGGGCACCTGGGGACCCCTGGCCTTGGAGGCGCCACGGAGGGTAGCGGGGCACTGGGCACTGTGGCCACTTACGCGACATTACTGATGTCTTTGCTGTTCTCCCTGTAGTAATTGAGGTCGTCTTTGTGTTTTTCTCCAAAGCTACTGTGCCTACATTACAAATAAGGCATAGAGAAAGATGTTTTGGCTTGTGGCCATTCAAACAGGTATTACCATTAAAATAATAATACGTTATTCTGCAAAGCGAACTTTACGAAGAGCCAGCTGGAGTGGCAGCCCTCAGCTTAGGGAGCGGTGGGAGAAAACCACCTCCGAGCTTTCAGGTTTCAAGCTCAGGTTGAGTACAAAAGTTGTTAGCTGGAAGTGGGCATTGGAATCCTGGACTAGCATCAGGTGCCCGTACCAAAGCTGGTTGGTGCAGCAGGACCCCAGCTGTGCTGTTCAGCTCCAGATGCAGGATGTGACATGACGAGAAACCAGGACCAAAGTCTCTATCCACCCTGCAATGCTCCTGTGCACAGGGATCTAGCCCCTTCCCTCATGCCTGTGGCATGTTTACTAGCATATGCTTCACATCCGTGTTAAACGATAGGATTAACAAACAGCCTCATCAGGCAGCAAGTTCTTGGCCGTGGGTCTGACTTGCTTGTTCGTGGGGGTGGAGAGGGAATCCTGGAAACACTTGCAGGGTTCTTTTTTTACCGTCCATTCTATCGGTTTCAGGTGATATCCTCCTGAGCTGGAGTGGCAGCCCTCAGCTTAGGGAGCGGTGGGAGAAAACCACCTCCGAGCTTTCAGGTTTCAAGCTCAGGTTGAGTACAAAAGTTGTTAGCTGGAAGTGGGCATTGGAATCCTGGACTAGCATCAGGTGCCCGTACCAAAGCTGGTTGGTGCAGCAGGACCCCAGCTGTGCCGTTCAGCTCCAGATGCAGGATGTGACATGACGAGAAACCAGGACCAAAGTCTCTATCCACCCTGCAATGCTCCTGTGTACAGGGATCTAGCCCCTTCCCTCATGCCTGTGGCATGTTTACTAGCATATGCTTCACATCCGTGTTAAACGATAGGATTAACAAACAGCCTCATCAGGCAGCAAGTTCTTGGCCGTGGGTCTGACTTGCTTGTTCGTGGGGGTGGAGAGGGAATCCTGGAAACACTTGCAGGGTTCTTTTTTTTACCGTCCATTCTATCGGTTTCAGGTGATATCCTCCTGAACGTGAACGGCATTGACCTGATGGGGGTCAGCCGGAGTGAGGCTGTCGCCCTGCTGAAAAACACCAACTCATCGGTGGTGCTCAAAGCCCTGGAGATGAGAGCGTGCGAAGCCCAGGAGGAGCGGGGCCGCCTGCCGCCCCCCGAGGCCATGCAGGCGACCTCCGAGAGCAGCGAGTGGTCGCCTTCCTGGGTTATGTGGCTGGGGCTGCCACGGTAAGTCCACGGATCGCATCCTCTTGCTGACGGGGAGTAGGAGGAAAGATTTGTATTTTCTGGCTGTTCTTTCTTTTGGCTTGATTCATCACACTGACATCTTAATTAAATCCAGGCTCTGTCACAGCGTTGACTCTAAATACCTCCCTTTTGTAAACGGGTATGTGTACATGGAAAAATAGACACACAGATCCCCTTGCAAGGGAGGAAAGGGTCTTGAATTGTTCCAGTCTTGAAAACATATCTGGCACTGAGGGAGGGAAAGGAAAAGCTTGCAGGGATACAGGAGCTTGCTGAACTGGGGTCTAGGCTCAGCTGCCCTGCGGAAGGCAGAGCTACCCCTCCTGCAGCTCTGGAGCTGCACAGCCCTCCTCCTTAGCCAAATCCAGCTGAACTGTTTGACTTTGCCCAGATGTCGCAAAGCGTGTGCAGTTGGCCGGTACCTCCGAATCACCTCTCTTAACCCCACCCCCGGCTGGACGCAGTCCGTTTGTCACACACAGGAAGCAGCTGTGTTGTCATTTCGGTAAGGATAATAAAAGCCGCATCACATGTCGCTAAGTTCTCTCAGATGCACGTGGTGTGCAGGGTGTGTACCTGCAGCTTGAGCGACATTTTGCAAAGTATTAAATGAGGACATGTTGTGAATGGGTGAATGTGCGAAGAAGCTAGCCTCACACCATTGGCGTTGGTGTCCAGTTTTAAAGGAATGAAGAATTTAGCTCACAAGGTACTTTTGCCCATGCTCCCAACCCTGGCAACAGTTCAGAGGGTCTCCTTCTCTTTTACGGGAGGGCATTGGAAGATGGTCTGTGGAACAGCTGGGCTTTTGCTCTAGGCACAGTTTCAGGACTCCATTTCCCAGTCTCACACAGCAGGTTAGATGCTTTCCCTCCTTCTGGCTTGAGCTGTTTTGAGCTCATTCACCTTGCAGCAAGGTCTGCTGTGAGCACCAGATGTATTTTGGGGCTTGGTCTGAGGCTGATGACGGTGTGACATGTGCTGAAGTACTGCGAGAGCAGAAGGCGGGTTGTGTGTCTGTCTGCCACGTGCAGATGAAAGGTTCCTCCTCCAACGGAGAGGACTACGTCCTTATTCCTGTGAAAGAAAAGCGGTAAAAAGAAAAGGCGGGAAATGGATGGCCCATAGCTTGCTACCCCAGGCAGTGGTAAATTTCTCTCACCTTGCAGTCTGGCTGCAGATGGGCATGCCTAGGGAGGTCCTCATTCCCGCTTGCTTCTTTTCTACGCATGAAGGGACTGGCGCACAGGCATCGCTTGCAGTGTGCGGAGAGCAAGCAGGCTACAGACCTCATAGGTGCAGCCACCGTCCGCTGCTAGATGGGCTGAAGCAATTGCACCCCACCTGCCCCTGGCCTAACCCCACATTTGCTGTGCTGTATAGAAAACCTGAGCTGCCCGGTCATCACCTTGTACCCACAGCTGCCTGAAGCCCCGATGTCCTCAGCAAGGTGATGGAGATGAAGGACAGAGCTCCACAGTACTGCAGGCTTGCACCCAGGGTTCACGTCAGTTAGTTCTGCTCTCAAGTTTGGGAAGAAAAGGTGTTTTTTCCCATTTTAAAAGTGATCTCTAAGCTCACTCTGTTCCCTGCCCGCCCCACGCCCCCCCTCGTCCCCCCCGAAGGCTGTGTGCATTAAGTCATTCCCACCCCTTTGGCCTGATGGAAAGCCAAGCTGAAGACAGGAGTTCATTGTAACTCCATCCCCAGCTGCGACCCCGGGCACAGAGTGCAGCGCGGCCCTTTGCTGCCAAAGGAAAGCAGGGGGATTGGTATGCTGAGCCGGTACGCCGCTCTGAAATCGGCCTCGGACAGGGACCAGCACCGATTAGGCATGGCAGTAGCAGAGGTGCACTACATCCTTATGGGTATCTGGTTGGTTGAGTAGGGGCACAAGGATCGGGTTTGGGTTTGCTCGTTGGGTATTATCAGACCCTTCAAGTCTTCCCCGCCGTGAGTGTGCTTACCCTCTTTACTCTTGTACTGATTCTCCAGGGCCCAGACATCTGGAAGTCCTTCAGCAAGTTTTCTCACCAGGATGCGTATCACATTAACTCATTTCCCTCCAGTCTGAGTACTTAACTTTTCCCTACCTGGCTTTCAGTTTGCTTTGGCAAGGATCACATCCCACTAGATCTCAAGGTATTGCCAGCAGTCTTGTGATGCTTACTAGGCTGTTACAGAAAACTGTTCTCTGTCCAAAGATGTGTCTGACAGGTCTATCTTTGTAAAGGTGTCTGATGTGCAAATATGAGGCAAGATGGTGATGATTCACCTACCTCAATTAAAACTGCGATGACATTTGTAAAGCCGTACCATTTACCAGAGGGACTGCTCCAAGGGGTGTAGGTCTAAGAACGTCTGGTGCAGCTGATGGAAAAGTAGAAATGTCAGAATCATGACTATATAGGATCATGCAAGGTATTTGGGAAGATGGGCAGGATGGGAAACACCCACATAAGGAAAACTGAGCATATAGAAAAGGTGATAATGGTGGTAGGCCAGGAACAGGCACGATTAAAAACAGAGGCTGCTGGATGGTGGATTCTTTAAATTCAGTCAAGAAGGGAAAGATGTGGCACAAGACAAGCCGTGGCAGGGCGGCGTGAGTGTCTGTGCACAGCAAGCAGCGCAGGGAGCGTGGAGGCAGCCTGACATCGTGCCTGAGAGCAGGGCGCTGGGGCTCAGCAGCCCACGAGGGGAGAGTCTTTCCTTCCATGCTCAGAAAACTTGAGTTCTGATGAAAATCCTGTGAAAGATAGTGGTCCTGTAAAGTGTGCTGAGTTGAGCTAAACGCTGGAGGATGCCTACAGATCTCTGTCCGTGACTTATGAAGTAGAAAATGGGCAAGCATTAATAATAGCTACGTGATTAACTGTGCCTTCCTCACTTTTGAGGCTGGTGTACTGCAATTGCCTAGTTCTCTGTACTAGCACAGAACTTGTCCCTTTCCCAAGAACTGAACACGTTACAGCGATGGGCATAGACAAGAGGCACAAAAATCGAGAGTTAGGGAGTTGCAGTGTTGTTCTGGATCAAGTCAGTAGCAGCAGAGATCACAGGTTGTCTGACTCCTTGCTCTGAAGCTCAAAGCCTTGGAAAAGCTGTCTTGCATAACTTAACATTTGTGAATCTCACTTAAATTTCGGCCCTTTCCTTGTGAGATCTTAAAATTGGCCTCCCTCACTTTTACATGGCTTGATCACACATAAAAACTCTGTCCTTTCTGTAGTACAATCCAATATGTGGCGGTTATAAAATCAACGCACGTGTGCATCTGACATCTGTCAAAACTTGGACAGCATGGGAGCGGAGGGACTGCGGGCTGGCTGTGGGGAGGAAGCGGTGATGCAGGACCCTAAGCGTTCCTGCCCCAAGACTTATTTCAAGGTAGCCAATTTAATCGTTTGTTGTTGAGGAGGGAAATGTTGTTGTGAAGCATGCGTAAGGAAAATAACGTGGAGCAGCTGGTGAAAAGCGTCTCCCCAGCCACGTGATATTTCTTCTGCTCTTGCTTGTTTTCCTCCTCTCCTTTCTTTGCTCTCCTCACATTTCCTTCCCCCAGCTAGCGCTTAAAAATACTTTATAGATCATCCTGTCATAACATTTACAAACATTAGTACTTCACATGAGTGCTTTTCTTCATCTGCAAAGTGAGATGAGAAAGACAGGAGGTGGCCAAAGTCTTTCTGCAAACCAGGGGTAGAACTGGACGTAAAACATGGAACTAGGACAGAAATTCCCCCAAATTAACTCCATCCAGGAGTAATTCTCAAATATTACTGTACTCCACTGCCAGTCATCTGCTGTAAGAGGGCAGGGGGAGGGAGTCATGCTTTTCATGCCTGTTATTGCTGAAGTCCTCCTGAAGTCAGGCTGGTTTTGATTCCCAGAGCATAAGGCTGCTCATGCTTCGCAAAAAGCAGCAGAGAATTGTACATATAACTACTTGAAAGCAGGCACCTTTAAATTCCTCTTGCATCAGTAACTGGTGCTCGGTTGTGGTATTTCTTATGCTAGGACCCTGCGCCTGGACACTCTTTATCCTTAAGTCTTGAATCTGAGGCAAATTCACACATAAACTACTCCTTGTCCTCAGCTTTTGGAGTATTTACAGATAGAGGCGGAAGGCTGCAAGCTGCTCTCTCCTGAGGCAGAAGATTGTTCTCCTTGGACCGGTTGCAGTTTAGTGGGTTATGGCGGTTTAACTGGGTCAAAACACACAGACTGGGGCTTTCCTTACTGCAGAGAAGTAATCTGCTCAAACACACTAAGCATCTTCAGATGACGCAAGTACTTATTTCATTTTCTCTCTCTGGTGCTTTCTAGCTTGTCTTTATCGCTACACAGTCGTAAGCAGACCCAAAGGACCTCCCTTCGGGCTGCTCTTTGCTCAGGCAGAGCAGGCGTCTCTGCTTATGTACGAAACTATCCGGAGTGAGCGGTACCAGCATTGGCCACAGCTCAGTCTGGTGCCTGCCTGCCTCCCAGCATCCTTTTCCCATTTCTGACAGCATTAATGCATAGCTGATGGATGGGGCGCTGCCATGTTGATACCCTCTGTCCAGTAGGATGGAGATAAGGAAACATCAAATTAAAGGTGTAAACACCACCTAGCCACTCCTGTTCTGTCAAGAGTCAGTCTCCAGCTATGGCCAGCATGATGGGTTCGACCTGGCTTGCACAAAGCACCAGCACGGCTCGACACCCCCAGCAGGACGAGAGGAAATGGGAAGGACGAGAGGGAGAAAACTTATGGGTCAAAGCAAAGACAGGGAAAATCACTCACCAATTACTCTTGTGGGCAAAACAGACTTGTCTTGGGGAATTTAACTTACACCATTTAATTATGAATTTGGATGTTGGGAACCAAAGATGACAAACTTTGGGGAAAAAAACCCTTTCTTCCCCCTTTCACAAGCTCAGCTCCACTCCAGCACCTCTCCTCCTGCCTTCTGGTCTCCCCTGCCTCGCTGTCACAGCGGATTACACCCGGTCCCCTCGGTGAGGTGACAGGCAGCACAGCAGCAGGGGGCTGGAGTCAGGACAGAGCAGTTCTCTCTGCTCCTTCTCGCTTTCCATGCGTTTTTGTCTGCTCTGGTGGAGGGAACAACCCTAATGCTAGTATGCTGGGTCTGTTTTACTTAAATTTAGCACATGCTTTGACAGCAAATGGGCATTTCTGCTTTCTGGACTGATGGAGACGGTGTAACTGATTGATAACCTTGCAGATGGTACGTACAGGATGCACGCAAGCCTTGTTTGTCTTCACTGTGTTCTCGTCTTGTGTCTGTACCTGCTTGCCTATTTCTTTCCTAAGGTGTTAGGATTTAGCTGATCCCCTTTCCATTTCAGCAATGTCCTCCTTAAGGCAGTGAGTGTATAGCCAGGCAGCAGGGACCCTTGCCCCCCCTCTCCCAAACCCAACACTAGGTAATGGTACTAAAGGCTGAATCCTGGCATCGCTTGGTCATGACCTTGATAAGTACCATCAAACATAAGAGGGTTTAAGTGATTTTGCACATTGAGGAAGCCCACAGATGGTAAAGTAATAACGCCTCACTGCTGAGGAAAGAACCAAATGTCACCTGTTTCTTACATTAGCAGCCAGTGAATCCTTGTGCAAATATTATATACCTACCATCCTGGCAGCAGGTGAATATTTGTAGGTCCTGAGGGACTAATCTAGGTTAACTATAAAATCCTGCTGTGAAATGCAGCAAAAGCATTATCTGGCAAATAGAAGTTAAAAAAAAATAAAAATCAAACCCTAGATGTGTTGGTCTTTAAGACAGTTAGTTATTTATCTTTCTACAGAAGAAGTGTCAGCTGCTGCTTAGAAACCCAGAGTCTCCGAGCAGAGCTGGTAGCAGTTGCTTGCTGTAGACCAGCCTATCGGTTCAGATTTGGAATAGCAAAAGGATTTTTTCAGGCTCTTCAGTTGTTCCTGGGTACGCTGAGAATGATGAGTGGGTTAAGCACTAAGCACAGAAACTTTGGTTGCTCTGTAACTAATCAAATTAATCTTGTTTTGGTGTTTTTTTTGTTTGTTTTTTTTTGCTTGGTTTAAAAAAAAAACCCTGAAACAACAAAGCAGGTATTCAGGTTATTAATGTACTTAGAGCACTAGGCAATGTCTAAGAGTTTAATAACCTTACTATTCCTGCTTTCCTCTATTCCTTGTTTCAGCTAAGGTTTGACTCAGCATACCTTAATAGTATGATAAAATAAATTTAAGAGAGAGAGGAAGAGGCAGATTTCAGTGCTCTCACTATAAAATACTGCATTAATTATTATAGTGAGGACAAGCTATCTTCTTGACAGCAGCCTCGGTACTCCAAAGCAGTGACCCACACGGATAGGCTTCTCTCATCTTCCGTGCTGTGACTTACCGCGTTGCTTGACAAGAAAAGCTTGGGATCCCTTCTTCCACTGGTAGTATTTCTTCGTGTCGTCTCTGTGATTTTTGGAATTCTGTCTCATTTTGTTGACCTTGAATTTTTTTTTTGCTTTGACATGCACCACAGTAGCAAGTGCCTGACTGCTTTTGACACAGTTGATCACATACAGGCTCTTATCTGGAAGCTAAAATAAGTCACTGGACTGTACAAGGTAGATGAAATAGCTTCTGGAATGATGGTTTGCGAATATTAAATTCAATCTCCACTAAATATTTTTCTCCATCACTTTCAATTGCAACTAGATCATTTGCTTTAATTCTTACAAACCCTGTAACACAATTTATTTATTGTTTTAACCCCAAGCTTACCTAGTAATTTTACTTTTAGGATAATGGGTTGTAGAAAGCAGCACTACAAAACCAGAAGTGTGGGTGTCTAATACAGGGGAACTTTAGTGCTATTTTTCATCTTCAAAATGCTCTATGGGTGTATGAAAAGGCAGATTCATCATTAATCATTCATCAGAATCAAGTTAACTGTAAGACTTTTAATTAGATTGGTTTGTTTCAGGTATTTGTACAGCTGCAAAGAAATTGTATTACGAAGAAATACATCTGGAAGTCTTGGCTTCAGCATCGTAGGAGGTTATGAAGAACATACCGGGAACAAACCATTCTTTATCAAATCCATCGTTGGGGGAACACCAGCATATAATGACGGCAGAATTAGGTAATGATAACTATCTAATGAAAAGTAGCATTTAAGTCTTTCATCTAGTTCATTTGTGGTTTGGTTTTTTTGTGTGGCGTGTTTTGTTTTGTTTTTTTTTTTTTTCTAAAACAAGTTTTTATGAAGACAGTGTAAGAGGGGAAAAAGGACTCAATACAGAACTAACAACAACAGATCTGGAAATAGGACAGCAGTGTCCTGAACTTCATTAGATTTGCCTTCATAGTAGAATGTTTTCAGAGGTCTAGCAACCACTAGTATATGAATAAATATAAAGATAACTCAGTTTGATCTTTGGGGTAGTACAAAGCAGCTTTCCCACATCCCCAGCTCAAAAAACCCCCCCACCCAATCAACTTAAGAGAGTAAATGCAGGATTATGGAGCAAACTTTAAATCAATTAAGCAGTCTTAAAACATAGCTTGTTCAGAACATGGATCATTCCCATGTGCAAGAACTTTATCCTATTTTCTTTCAAATACATCTAAGTAATTACAAAAATATGGAAAAAAAAAAAAGGTGAAGTATTTTCACCTGCTTCATTCCCTTATTCACTAACAGCGGTTAGCCAGAGAAAGAACAATAATACTAATTTCTACCCCTTTCTCCCAGCTTAGGGACTTGCTTTGGCATTTGCAAACATTTAAGGTAAGTCCCCTTGTTTAATTGCTAGCTCATATTTGCTTTTGGTTTTTCAGATGCGGCGATATCCTCCTTGCTGTCAATGGCAGGAACACATCAGGAATGATGCACGCCTGCTTGGCAAGGATGCTCAAAGAACTGAAAGGAAAAATTACTCTCACAATTGTGTCCTGGCCTGGCACTTTTTTATAAAACAAGTCTTCATGGAGAGTATGTCAGTATGTCAAGTAACTTAATACAGAAGAAAAAAAAAAAAAAAAAGGAACACCAGTCTTTGCTTTTTGTGGTGTGTCAAGTGAAGTGTTCATAAAGAAAAGGTTTGTGAAATTTCAACCTGCAGGTCAAGAGAAGTCATGTTTAGGCAAAGCAGGGACACCTGTCAGAAAATCACTTTGGAGTGATTTAAGCTACAGACTTTTAAGTCTTTCCTTCCCATGTTCTTAAGGGGTTTTTTTTGTTGGTTTGTTTTTTTTAATATATAATCATTAATGCATTATAATAATAATGAAATTTAAGGATCAGCAGTTCCTGCTCACCCACTTTATTTTGATTTACAAGAAGAAATCCTTGAGTAACTTATGGAAAAATTTCTTGCAATTTTTCTAGTTGCAAAAAGCAGGTGAAGGTTTTTATCCAACACATTAATAGCACTTTGATTATGTGTACCTTTTCATGGTCAGCATGAAACTGGTATTTTCAAGACTTTCAAGTACTGTTTGTTAGTCTGTAAAACTGTGAATTAAATTTCTAAAGTAATTAAAAATAACTGTAACTGTGTACTTGTACAGACGTTATTTTCATCCAAAATCAAATGACCTAGTTTCCCTGGTATGTTTTGATTAATACTATTAAATCTAGAATTTTTATACAGAATTATTGTTTTTAAGGAAGTATACTGCACCCTGCTAATACCATCAAGTATTGCACAACAGTGTACCCTGACAGGGCAGTACAATTTTTGCAGGACTGCCATGCCAATCACATGTGATACTGTATCTGAAAGTGATGATGGTCTCACATTTTTCTTAAAGTAGTTCTTTGCCTTAGAAATTACCCATGTTCTGAAGTCTAATTTTTTCCTCACAAGCTAGCCATGGAAAGGGATATGCTAAAGATTAACAAACATGTTAAGGACAGCTGTTCCCCCAGAACAAAGACTAAAATGAACTTTCTCTTAAGCCACTGCAAAGCAGGAGGGATATTTATCCAGCTTAATTCACCCTTACGCACCCATACAAACCAGACTTAATTACCAAGTGTATGATCACCACCCTCCGTGTTCCATCAGACTAAGAACAATCAGCACCTTTCCCAGTTTCCTTGATTTTTTCATTTCACCTTGGTACAAATTTCTTGAAGAGCCTGCAATTCCTGCCTGTCCCTGCACAAAAGGATGACCTTTTCAAATATGAACTGCAAAAGCTGTACTAAACCCACACTGTTCCAGATGTTGGTATATAATAAAGAGAATGCATGCTGTTTCTAAAGTCAGTAAAGAATGACCTTCCCACTGGCTTATGAAAAAAAGGAGACAATTTAATACAAAGAATTTAAGCCCTGCATATACTGTAAGAGCATAAGCCTCTAGCTGTAATATGTTTTCTCACTGTTTCTTAAAAGACAAAGTCAGTCCAGGAATCTTAACATGAAAAATTCATTCTTTTATTTTCAAAAAAACCAAAGTAACCTTTGATTTCAAACTAACAGAACAAGATTAAGAGCAAATTATCTTAATACCCAGAAAAATAACAAGATTTATAGTAATCTATTTCTGGCATTAATATATATGCAAGTAGGCAAAAAAAAAAAATCACACAAGCCTATTCCACAGGGGCAGCCTCGGTGTTTTCCTGTTCAGGAGCAGGTTCACCGCTGGCTTCTTTTCCTTCTTTGCTTCTTTTGGATTTTTTGTGTTTGTGCCTTCTGTGGCTATCCCCTTCTTCACTGTCGTGACGACGTCTGCTGTTACTAAATGAAGAGAGAGAAAGAATACCTCAAACAATTGCATGACACTTCAGGCCTCATTCAACTACAGAGCACCAAAAAAACCAGCCTTTGCATTCCTGTTTGAAAACTGGCACCTGCTCCTGATCCAACCCACATAGTATTTGGCTGTCAGCGCCAAACTGAATTTTTCATGGAATGGTACACACATCCACCCACTCTCTACTTTTTGTTAGGAAATTGGAATAACTTTTCACATTTGTAACCCATATTCTAATAGCATTATTTTTAATAATGTCATGTGCCTACTGGCATCCCTTAATGGTTTAACATTCTTATTGATCCCGTCCCCTGGATTTAACCTTTATTTCTAACTTAAAAAGGATCAATCTGAACAATTTCTATCAAGTAACCATGAGGGTTAGTTTACTTAGTAAGAATCACTGTTGAGCTCTTACGTTAATGCTGCTGAATGTCAGCTTCACTCCACCTCTTTCTGACCCACCATTTTTACCCTTCTTTCCCCAAATTCATAATTTCTGTTCCCTAGCTAAGACTGTCACATATATCATTCAATATGAAGTTACACAGGGCCAACATTGCTTTTTGTCTGTCCACATTTTATATTGCAGACTTGTTCCAAGTAGTACATCTATGTGTTTACAGTCTTTCCACAAAACTCCAGTTTGTTTGGGGTTCTTTTAAAAGTTTACTTTATTTTTTTAAACTGGTCAAGTCTTTGTATCCTATTAAAAAAAAAAAAAAAAAAAAAATCAAACCTTCGAGATGACTTGTGTCTAGTCTCTTCTTTCTCTCTGTGCCTCCTGTCTCTGTGTCGGTCTTCTTTCTCTCTACTTGTTCTATGGCGGTCATAACCTCTTTCTGCATAGTCTCTGTATCTGTATCGTTCTTCATCACTGATTAAAAAAGAAGATATTTTCAGGACAGTAACACCAAGCAGTGTATATATTAAAAAAGAAATTCTTATACAGTCTCAAGATAAATGCTATAAAAATCTTAATGTTGCTTCTGGGTTTCTAAACAAGATCCACAACATATGCTAAAAGGACATTAAAGCTCTTCACCTAACACATTAGACTTCAGTAGTTAATACAATTTTGAAAGGGGATTGTTCAATAAAAATGGAAGGAAAAAAGAATACAAGTGTCACATTAAGTTTATACAGGAGTGATCAAGCAGTTAGTTAGCTTAAACCTGTGTATATACAATCCTACATAAACTTTAGTAATGTTTTCAGACCACTGTGTGTAATGCTCAACATTTACCAGCACAGTTTTTGACTATTATACCATTTAGGTAAATTAAATTAAATTTTGGTACAGTTGATCTATTTCCACACATCAGCTTCAAGAAAGGAAATGCTAGGTGCAAAGAGATCAACAGTAAAATATACTCAATGCTTTGGGTCACTTTTAAAATTAATTTCTCTCCAGTGCCAATGCTATCTCTACTTCCACTCCTCTCTTGGATTACCACGAGTGCTGCCTTGCCACAACGCTGGTAACACCCCTCCTAAATACTACAGACTATACAAGAATGTAAAGGCTTTACTTAAGAATGTATTTTCATATTTTGACTTGATGAAAAGGGAAGTTCTAAGAGTTTAGTGGTATTTTAAAAAAAAGATAAGAGCAGTATCTATAGTTAGCCAACACCACTCACATGCTACATTGGCATAGCTTAAAGAGGCATGCTTATTTTATCGTTTCTCTACCAAGAAAATCCTACCCAGATACAGTGTCCAGTATCATTTAACAAGATTTCAATCTAATGAACTTACTGTAACTATTTATGTATCACATGAAGTCTTCATAACCGTAGTTGGGAAGATCCCTACCAAGTTCTAAAGAAAGGCACAATGTGACCAGGCTTTCTGAGGCAGTAATTAAAACAGGTAACAATTTAGATACTATTAAGGTGACAAAAGCCAAGTGTTTCATGTTTTCCATCCTTGCCAACATTTACCATAAAAGAAAGTCTCTTCCTGAGACATCTCCAAGGATGGAGGGTCCACAACCTCTCTGGTCAACCTGTGTCAGTGCTCAGTCACCCTCACAGGCACCACGCCACTATCACTTCTCTTAATTATTGTCCCCCTCTGAAGACAAAAACAGAATTCAACTGCATTGAACACTTTTTTTAAAGCCTATGTTAAATCTAACATGTCTTTCCCACAAGAAAACCCTACAACACAGACACATCAGCTTATAAAAAAATGAAGGCAGTACAGCCACAGAACATGAATTCTAATCATACTACTCTACAGCACCCTAGGTTGTAGTCCAGGGTGTGAAAATAAATTCACTTGTTCCACTGAGGTGTATAAAGCCCAGACAGGTAAACTAAAGCAGCTGGGGATGAGAAGGGAGAAAATAAATCCCAAATCTTACAATACTGAAACCTGAAGTCCTGTGCCTTTAAGGTGTTTCTACCTGTATCAATCATTTACCACTATTTCACCCTCAAGTTTCTACTTTACTATCAGGGGAAGGAGGGAAGTGTAGGGGAGACATTTTCAATCCAAGTCCTTTTCTACTGAGCATTTCTTCTCACAAGAAACTAACTCAAGACTTCAGGGAAAAGGAAAACCAAAAATTAGAAAAGTTTTCTTATCAATCTTTGTTCTATACACCTTTGGTTACTTTTTCAAAACAGACTACAAGCTACTAACTTCACAAATCAGGAGAGCTCACTTTGGTAGAGATGTCTAATATCTGATACCTGTAGTGAAAAAATTTCCCATGTATTCAAAAACCCTGGAACAAAGAACCACAGAAGGATTTAGGCTAGAATGGAGTTCCTGGAGGTCACTTGGGCTAACCCCCTGCACAAAAATGGTCTAACTCAGAAGTCTGGTCAGGTTGCCTAGGGCCTTGCTTAGTCAAGTTTTGAGTATCTCCAAGGCTGGAGATTCCACGACCTCTCTGGACAACCCGTCTTACTACCCGATCACTTTTTTGATGTTTCCCCATCATCCGCCCCCCCCAGCATCTAATTTCCCTTGCTGTGACTTTTAACTGTTACCTCTTGTCCTTTCTCTATTGCACCTGGAAAAAAGGGCCTGGCTCTATCTTCTCTGTAACCACCCATTAGGTAGTCAAAAATCACCTTTAAGCACCCTCCTCATCCTTCTCCTTTCGAAATAAATGAACTCTGTCCCCTTAGTCCTGCTCACCCCCCTTGTCAGCACTCCACTGTACTCTCCAGTTTGTCAATGTCTTCTTTTTCATACCAAGGGTCCCAAAACCGGGCACAGTACTTTGCTTTCTAGCCAGACAGACCCTTGTCTGCTCTGCTGCATGGGATTACTGGGTTCCAGAAATACAGTTGTTGGGTTTTGCTTTTTTCCCCCTGTCCCCCCCCCAAACTGCTAAGGAATAAATACAAAATGGTTTAAGGTATCAATCAAATTCCAACATTTACATTTTTAGTGGTAACTAAATGACTTGAAACTATCAAAACAGAAAATAAAACACAGTCTGTGCAAAAGGAACAACAGTCCAAAACAAACAGCATCTTTTCAAGGCAGAGAGCGAGATACATTGTAAAAATGCACAATTTCATCTGAGGATAGCATGGTAAAGGTGGAATATAATACAAAGATAGCTGAAGGTTCGTTTTTAAACCACATTTTGGTTATACTAACCAAATAAAAATAATTTCCATTTTCTTAGAATTTAAAGAAATTCTATAGCACAAATACAGGTTTTTTATCTGGAAAAGAACCACTAAAAACATAGAAGTCATTTCTGAGCAGTAAAAAGCTAATGATTATGCTTACTCTAGCTCTCACCACAGTGTTGTTTAAGTTGAAACAAAGGCAATTTAAATACAAGTAATGCATATGTGTAGTCACTATAAAATAGTTCACATTCTCTTCCCCATAGCTCGTTTCATTTTATTTTCTTAAGCGCATGGAATTGAAAATAAACTTTCTTAAAAAAACCCCATTACGTCTGCATGTTCTGCTTAAGCCTCTCCCACCTTCTCTGTGACTCCCAAACCAACTTATACTTGTTAAGGGCCTCCCGTTTTCTTACACAGCCATGTGGCAACAGCTTTGCTACAGATGGTGGATAATTTAGTCACATAAAAAGTTGAGGCCTGCTCTTCCCCCTCCTTTCCAGATAACTCTGGCATCAGCACAGAGATTTCTCTGGGCCTGGAAGCTATTAAGGTTCATTTCAAGCACCCTTGAATGACCAGGCTTCTTTCTGGCCTTCAATCAAGCTGTCTGAGAAACAGATGTTTAGATTGGTCTTGAATTCTCAGAAACTGACCCTGGAACATAGCACATACACACAGGAGAGGACATCACCACATCTGCATACATGGAAAATTGCCTATCTTGCATCCAATTTTGGTATTCAGTGAACAATCATCGTGCAAAAAATGTCATCTCTCAACCGAAGTAATGTTGACTCCGGGTGCTCTCATTCCCCACAGCGTAAAACCACTGGTAAAAATAATCCACTTAATAGTTAACGTATATATTCTGCAAAAATTGAAACTTAACGAAAAACACAGAGAAAAGCATCACAATGTTTACCCCCAAATACTCAGCAAATCATGAGTGAAGTAAATTTAGATAAATCTGGCAAGGCAATAGATCTCTGCTCTATGGAGTCATAGCGAGCTCAACATTAAATGTTTTGTACTTGTGCACATGAACGCAGAACAGTTGCAGCTTTTTTCTTTTTTCTTTTTTTCTAAAGCAATTGGAGAGTTGAAAGCCAAATAGAGTTATCTGCCATTATTTTCATCATCTGCCTGAAAATGAAAACAAGTTCTGGACCTTGAAATAATAGTTTTAAGAGAGATAGGACAGATTATTATCCAGCCAGTGCTAATGACCAAAGTAACCATTTTAGCAGCTAATAACACAATTAATTAACATCAAATGTTGGACCACATTGCTCTTAGCACTGAACTGGCAACTAAGATTCATTTAGTACTTCTGTAGATTTTTATAGAACTACTGATGTCAAAGAGAGTGGGATGTCTCACTCATACACAAGGTTTAAATCACACCTTTAACCTGAAAGCACTATGACCAGTTCGGACGTATACTGTTGTTTTTACATTTCCGTTTTACTTTAGAAATTTAATTATAGTTTCCAAGAGAAAAGGGGGAAGAGGAGAAAGCCACACCCTCTAGCGCTTCGGAATATACAGCTGAACACTAAATTTGAACGTTGAAGTATACTACTTAACACAGAAGCAGGGTTTTGAGCAGAGTTACAGCATGCTTAAGACATTTCACTAACCTGTTGAACACACTGGGAGTTGGACTGTGATCTCGGTCCCTTTCCCTGTCTCTGGTACGTTCTCGATCTCTGTCTCGGTCCCGGTCGCGATCCCGATCTCGGGATCGCTCTCTCTCACGTTCCCTATCCTTCTCTCTTCGTGCATAGTAATCCCACTGTTTGCTGGTGTCCATAAGACTAGACCATGAAGGAGCAGAACCTGCAAGGTGCGGAAAGGTGACTAAAGAAAAAGATGCGGGTATTAGAAAGAACAAAATCAGATACTGTATGAAAACTGTAATACTACTCATGCATGAAAATACAGATGTTTGTCAACCTCCTCCAATGACATTTTCCAATCTTCCCCTTTCACATAAAAGTTAATTCTGAGCAAACTCTGCATTTTTTCCATGATGCTAATAAAGGCCTCTGGCACGCATTTAAGTATTTGCTATGAAGATCTACAGAACCAGGATATATACCACAAAGACAGTCTAAATCCTTTTGAAAAAAAATATTGTGCAAAGGTTTGCTGCAAGAATCTGATTTTATGTGGTCATATGGCTTTTGTTTTGGGGGAACAACAAAACAAAAACAACCAGAAAAAAACCCTGCCTTTGAAACTCAGTGGCTCTGAAAGTACAGTTCAGAAAAACAAGGAAAAAGGATGCTTCCAACTTTATATTTAGATGCTAATACTTTTATGTTTTGCCCTTTAAAATAATTGTATTTAAAATATGTTAGTTACAATGTTCTCATTCACTGATTTATATTCTATACTGTGCTTTGCCATACATTTCTGATTAAAGAATGTAACAGCAGCTTTAAAATTAACTTCCATAAATTTATTCTGAGAAGAAATAATGTTCCCACTTATGCTTTGTAGGATACCATTTCTAATGAATACCCAGCACAACCACTATTACCACACTAAAAGTTTCAGAAAATTAAGTATATTATCTTCACCTAAGATGATATGCTTAAGAAGTTAAGGTGGCAGTCACAACACCGCCTCACAAGCTTTTTGGGTAATCAGCAACGGGAAGAGAGAAGGGACATGCTTCTCCATTGCTTTCTGCAAACTCCGATGTAATAAATTACTACTATTCTTAATGCCCCAATTGTTCTGTCCTACCCTCCCTCTCCAGAAGCCTGGGGAATGTGTCCTGTTGCTGAAAAATAAGGGCTGTAGTATTTAACTGGAAACAGCACTCTCTAGTGGACTTACAGTACAGAGGACTTCCCACTTTCTGCTTATCTGCTTTGCTAGCCAATGATAACATAGCCTTCAATAAATCGTTTGTTTTGAGTTCCACTTCATTATCTATAATATGAGAACAATATTCACTTGACTCCATGGTGTCACGAAGAGACATTAATAGCATAATTAACATAAATATCTACTGAACAATGTAAAGTCCGTTACTGATGCTGTATTTAATACTGTTGAGTTATAAAACCAGGGGCTTCTCCTGGCAGCTATGTTCAGACTGCCTTGCCTACAACGTCTGGGGCATGCCTGCCCCAGAAAGCTTTGGCAGAAGCTTAAGACAGCAGTTTGCCAAGCGTCCAAAGGAGGAATACAAAAGACCTTTTGAGCAGGCAGTGGAGCAGGAAAAAACACTTCATTGTTAAAATACATGTGCAATGAAAAGCATTATAATTCTTTAAAAAAGCATTTAGACGAGGTTTTGCCTCTAACAAAATGCTTGACACTGTTTCACTTCAGGGCTACAGAGAAAATGAGGAGTTAACAGAAAAAAATACCCTAATATAATAGCATGTTGTTCATTATACTGCCAAAACCTGAAATTCTTCTAAGGAAAGCAGCCAGAAATAGCAAAAAACCAGCTGGACTTTAAAGACTGCTAATTTCCTTGACTTGCCACTATGTCAACAACATACGTATGGTCTACGAGTTTTGAATACACTGGCTGCCAGAATATTCTGATCTAAAGTGTAAACTTAAGTTTAACTTTAAATGTATACTTATACTACAAAACAATTATTCTTACTAATGGTAGCATAAATTTCTGTGATAAATTTTGGTTACTCCCTCACATTTGCAGTAATTCTTTTCAGACAGAAGTATGTCATCACCACCCCAATAACCTGAGATAAACCAGTTATTTGATACTCTGTGCATTTTTGTGTCTAGATATTCACAGTAATTATTCACAATACACAAGAAGCTTACTTTCTACTATGAATTGGTGCTCTGCATTTACTACTTAGAATGAGCTATTTGGCACTTTTAGTATTTCTACGTAGATTATTCCAATAATTTCCACAAGAAGAAAGACACTTCTGAAGTTTAACTCTGATTTTATTTTTAAAACAGGAAGAAAGGTAGCTTTGAACAGTCAATAGTTTTGGAGAGAGCTTAAAAATTTAAAGCTGCGTCGTGTCACAGTATAAGGCAAACAATTAATATATCTTCTTTGTGCTTCAAAAAATACTGACTCTCAAAATGTTTCTGTAACATTAAATTTCTTGCAAGTTCAGAAGATACGAAGAATATTTAGAGCACAGAACTGACAACCTCTTGAGGAAGAAGCAAACAAGCGTACAATACAAGTTGCTTTGCTGGCAGACCAAACACAGCAACACATATTGACAGCTCAATAAAATTCCAAATCTGATGGCAAAGGTGACACTGAATTGTGAACGGATTTAAGAGCAAATTGAAGCAACTGCACTGATGCAGGGGAAGAACACAAAACCAAACCAGGTATTTTTGAAGCTACAATTTAAGAGTATTATTTTAATATGCAACCTTCCTAATGAGGTTGCAGTGGAAAACACACCTGACCACTAGGGAAAAGACACCAAGGTATGAGATTAGGAATTTGAATAGGCAGAAGAAAGGCTAGAGCCTTAATCAACATTGGTATTTTTTGCAATGTGTTGCATATGCTCATCTTCCCCCGCAATTTTGACAAAGCCATGAAACATACAGACTGGGAAGGAAGACAACAGGTTGGAGATTCAGTGCTATCATCCAAAGCAACTATTAAATAAACTTAGCGATTCTTAATGAAAATGATCATCTGTACTCTACTGTGCTGCTGAGCCCTCAATTTACCTAAGTTCTGATGCATGCAGAGCGCTGGTAAAATACTGGCCAGTGATCACGTTGTGAGATAGGGACTGTGAGTGTGAGATGCTGGACAGGAAAACACACTTCACTAAGAGTTGAACAGCAACAGTAAAATGCCACTGAGTCCCTACAGATCCAATTATCCCCATGATGGGCACAGCTTAGAGCCACACAATTTGGCCAGCAAATATCAAAACTTTTGCCACAATAGGGATGCCAGATAGACTGGGAAGGTGGGAGCAGACTGGCCAGGTGGGAGCAGACTGTGCTTCTTGGTCTCCATAGCCATACTAAGGCAAACATCATTTTTTAACCCCGCTGAAGAAGTTCAAATTCAATGTTGGCACGATCTTGATGACAGCCATCTTTTGAATATTGGTACTGCAATAATATAAGCACGCCATCACCTCTGAAGGTCAACGTAAAATTTGGAAATAGTCTTGTGTCCCTGACAACACTTGGCAGAATAGCAAATTCTAACAAAAGAGATTCCAAAGCAGAAAACATTTTAAATTGGAGACTACATATTACATGCAATGTACATACTAATGACTGTAAGACTGCTTTCCTTATGATACTCTGCATGGCTTTAGATGTTGCACTTCAGCAAAATAGTCACTTGGGTATTGTAGTTGTCTGCCTCAGCTTTACCTCTTTGCTAAAACTTTGGCAAGCTCAGTTCAATTATCGCTAAAAAAGTAGTTAGCGTAAAGCAGCTGTTTGCCCACATCAAGAATTCTTGAAAACACAACAAGCTTCCATGCATGAAAGCAAACACTTGGTAACTGATGAGGAACCTTTCAATGCCAACAAAGTACCACTTGTTACTCCATGACCTGCTCCAATTTCAAGAAATTACAAGCCATTCAAAAATGCCATTTTATATATCCTCTCTAAAGACTTAGAAACATTTGGGAGATACATTATCTGGCTGTTTGTTCTGTGCTGAACATTATGTATCCCCAGAACGGGACAGAACTTCCCCTACAATTTCTCCTCCCAGCAGATAGGGTCCAAAGGAACAAAGAGCAAGGAGACAGAAAAGTCAGCTGGACGAAAAGGCATGGGTCTGGATGACAGATTCATTGAAGGCAGAGGCTGGCAACGCACAAGGTCCTGCACCTGGGTCAGGGCAATCCTCAGTATCAGTACAGACTGGGTGATGAATTGATTGAGAGCAGCCCTGCAGAGAAGCACTTGGGGATACTGGTGGACGAAAAATTAAACATGAGACTGCAATGTGAGTTTGCAGCTCAGAAAGCCAGTTGTATCCTGGGCTGCATGAAACAAAGCATGGCCGGCAGGATGAGGGAGGTGATTCTCCCTTCGTGCACCCTTGTGAGACCCCAACTGGAGTAGTGCATCCAGCTCTCAGGCCCTCAGTACAACACAGACATGTTAGAGCAGGTCCAGAGGAGGGTCACGAGAAATCATCATGAGATCTGGAACATTTCTCCTAGGTTGTTCAGCCTGAAGAAGAGCAGTCTCTGGGGAGACCTTATTGCGGCCTTTCAACACTTCAAGGGGGCTTATAAGAAAAATGGAGAGAGAATTTTTACCAGAGCCTGTACTGACAGGAGTGGTTTTAAATTGAAAAAGAGTAGGTTTAGGTTGGACATAAGGAAGAAATTCTTCATGATGTGGGTGGTGGGATACCAGAACAGGTGGCCCAGAGAAGCTGTGGATGCTCCATCATTGGAAGTGTTCAAAGTCAGGTTGGATGGGACTTTGAGCAACCTGATCTAGTGAAAGATCTCCAGGCCCATGGCAGGGGGGTGTGGATCAGATGATCTTTGATGGTCCCTTCCAACACAAACCATTCTGTGATTCTATGTTTATTTTATCTTCCCAATTTGGGCTAGGTCAGGAAGAAGCTGACATCTTACTACTGCTATTACTCTTTTGGCTCAGGAAGCAGAGCTGTGCTAGGTAACAGTTCTAAACTCACTGTAGGTTCTGTGGATGTCCATTTGATTGCACATAATGAAACCTCTATTTTGGTTCACTCTTACTATAAAACCAGAAAGTGATGTTTTTCAGCTTCAGATTTTTTCCATAACATTAACCAAAAAAAGAAAGACTGACTTTGTAATAGGACAGCTGAAGATTACAGTATCTCACACAAACAGTTTTTCAGAGGTACATCACTCAGGATTTCTCAATGATTGGCCTTGCTGGTTAAAATTCTGATGCTATCTCAACAGTACTCGTTCTCGTGCTTCTAAATCCTACCAGTTCTTGGAAAATTCTACCTGACTTCTGCTCCATATTACAGTGTATTATTTTTCAAAACCAGAGTTCTGCAAAAGCACCATGGAAAGATACCTAGCATACAAACAAGTAAGCAAACCAACAGTATTTACCAACAAGTGTTAAATTTACAATAGCATGTATCTGTTTACAATGAGCTTTCGTAATGAGTTACTGAAAGGACCGTTTAGTGTCTTAGCTAAAATCCTGATAAGTATATAAAAAAATTTGATATAGCACTAGTCAAAATTTTTAAAGCCAGAAAGTTTACTCACCACTGCCATATGAAAATGCACGAACAGAACGACCATCATAGCCAGAAGAATGGCCACTGTTGAAAACACATGTAAAAATCCGCTTTTACCATCAAAGCTACCTCCATCAGTAAATACATACTTTTAATATTATTGCCCCAAATTCTTACCACCATACAGACTAAGGCAAAATGGATTTAAGTCCCCCATTTTGAGCATTACTAATAAAGGAAGCTGTCTATCAACACAAATATGTATATTTCATGTTTTACTACAGGAGCTGAAAATAGCATTCCCTCTTAAAATTTAAAACAAAAAATATCCGTATCATCAAAGCTGTTCTTTTGTATTTTCAATTAATTTTCTATTTTCAATGAATTTTCTATTTCAAATGTTTTTTATATCATAAGATGTTTCTGCACAGATACTGAGCTTAATCTCCAATTGCTTGGAAGTGCTTCATCCATGACTGAAACCATTCTCATTCTTTCTGTTAAAAAGTAGATACGTGAGCATATCTGAGAACAGGTGGACTTCAAATGTGTAATTCTGTAAACTATTCAATTAGCTACACATTTTCTAGGCTGACTTCTTTCAGTGGTAGCCAACTCAAGTAGGTAAAAACCAGAAAGGTTAAAAAGCATGGTATGTGCACAGGACATAATTCATACATATATAATTCTTTCATGACTTTTAGCACTTCCTACAGAACTTGAATGATTTATCTTTGCCGTATTTAACCTAAGTGTTATTTCTGTTCTTGAAGGCACTTTAACATTAAGAAATAACTTTTGGGTTAGCTTAGTTCACAATAAAAACAGTGATAATGAAAGGTCAATTCAACATTTTCATATTTAAAAGTATGAGATTTAGTTCCTAGGTTCCATAATAAACTTGATTTTTTCACATCACATTTCAGAAATTGTATAAATATTCACTACAAGTAAATGCAATGAGCACTGCTTAACAGTCAGAAGCAGCAGTCACTCACAGCAACTGTCAGTACGAAATAATAAATTTACTTTCATGCACATCAAATGCATCCAGTTGGGTTTTTTCCCCGAATTAAATCAGATGAGGATTTTTGCAGAGATTTGCCATCATCATCCTGTAGTGTATATGTTAGCAGAATTTTCAATTTCAAAGGAACAGATGTGTGTATGTTCCTTCAGTGAAATCCAAAGGACTGGCAAGAGACTTGCACTATCTTCTTAAAGTGAGCTTTGTATATGACCTGCTTTTGGCCTCTAGCAAAATACGAATATTTTTCAAGGACTGTGCTGGCCAACCCTTTTTTCTTCCTTTTACATATATATGTATAAAAACATATGTACACATATACACATATATAAAAAAGGTATTGAAAAAATACTGTTAGGCCTATTAAAGCTGAACGCTTAGAACAAACATAGTAGAAACACAAACTTGGATTCCATGAAACTCTGGCATTTCCTATAGCTTATGAGGTCTTGAATCTGTGGCTAAATTGTTTATTTGAATTTATAGAAAAGGATACAGTAGCTGACAAGCATACAGTTCACTTAAATAAGCCTCCTGACTACTAAAGAATACTTTAACTTTGTTCTAACATGCGGTCAACTAACCCCCTCAAATGACCATTAAGTGTTAGACAGGTGAGACTAGTAACATTCTGTAAAAATACTGTAAATATCTGAAACTGTCTTCCCACTCCCAGATAAAATCCATAAAACACTGGGCACTGTGAGGTCCTTACTAGTTTATTTCAGTTACAGAACACTGATATATTGCTTTATAAGATTTCAAACAGATAATCACCTTTCTATTGTGGGTATGAGGGAAGGTGGAGGACCGCCAGGTGGTGGTGGAAAGCCTGTAGTAATAAATTAGGTGGGAGAGAAGGAAGAAAAAAGCAAACAAACCATAAACACATAAAAGAACTAGGCTAAGCATACAATGGCAAACAAATTCCAGAGAGTGTAATGCAAAAAATGTTTCCCACTGAGTAAATGGGTTTTGTTTTGTGAAACTGAGAGTTATTTTCCAGCTTAACAAAGGCAGACTATTAAACATATATTATCAGTACTTCAAATCAAATACTTTATCATTCTTAAAAATACAATAATTTAGAAGCATAGGAAAGTTCCTGGGTATCTAACAATACTTAACAAACAACATTCAGAACTATTTTCTGCATAGCAGAAAAAAAAGAATGGAAAGAAAAGAAGGAAACATACATCTAAGGGATTAGGTCTGCTAGTCAACAGCATTTTCATACACTTCTTTCTGCCTGGTGTCAAAATAACAGCCTACATCTAAACATCTATCAACTTTTGTCTATATAACTGAAAATACGTTGACAGGTTGCACATCAGTTAAGTTTTCATTTCTTAATCAAATATGGAAAAAAATTCTAAGCAAGTTTACCTGGTGGTGGCACTGTTATTGGTATACCTAAAAAGACAACAAATAATATATCAGTTATAGTAATAGTTTGTTTATTATCTGTAGATCTAAAATCAGATTGAGCTATCACCACATACATGGCCAAGAAGAATGATAACTTGTTTTCTGTGTCCTCAGATCAAGATCTTGCATTAATACCAATTGTTAAGATTTTAACCTTTTTACATAAATTCCTGTTCTTCAGGATTTTATTTAATTAAAGACAAAAATAATGAAGAATGACTCTGGGTCTCAAGATTAGAATTGAATCCATAACTCTAAAATGTTTAGTATTCAGAAGGAAAATAACATCCCATAGAATATATTTATTTTATATTCCACTACTGGAAGAAAGGAAACGCAATTGGCCTCTGACCTTTAATAGCTTAGTATAGGAAATAGAAAGTCCACATGGACAAAATATTCTAGCAACATTAAGCATTACAGACTTTTCAGTCAATGCTATGCCACACTGCAATTAATCATTCAGTTGCTACTTGGAGGGAAAAAAAAATTGTTCGGTACTCTATTTTCTTGTAAATATCCGAGAAAGGAGCATCCTTTAATACAAAGAACCAAAGTGTTCTAACTTCTCTGGTTTTCAGACCTAGCTTAGCTGTTATGAATCTAAGAAAAACCTGAGAAATTGTTCCCAACTAAATTAGCTGACCTAACAAAATATACTGCCTCGACACATAAACCTATTTTATTTGATTATGAAAGGAATGATCACAAGGTAAAAATCAGTCATACACTTTAAAGGACATTATCTTCTCCTATTTTGCAAAGAACTAGCTTTACCTCAATTGAACATAGAAAACACTGCTACATGAAAATAATAAAGTGGGCTAAACCAATATCGTCAGAAAATAAGACTACTTTACCAGGCATAAAGATCTTTCAGTTACGAACAACTCTACTTCCATTAAAAAATAAGTACTTTCAATCTGACAAGTCACTGCAAGACTTTGGGGGGGGAAAGAACAGAAAACTTTGCCAAGTGCTTTCATCAGTTTTGCCGTAAGTGCATAAACATCCAGACAGAACAGCAGCCAGACCCACTTAAACTAAAACCCATCGCATTCAAGTTCCAGACTTCATCATGCAGAGAATATCCTAGATGTACTCGCAACGGCGTGTTTTATTTTATTTATATATCATCGGTCAACATTAGAACTAAAAGACTATTGTATGGAAGCAACGTTTAACTACATCTACATAATATAATGTCTAGGAATGCCAACTGCTCCCAAATTGCCTTGGCAGAAGGAGAGAGTGAAGGAACATGCAAGCTGAGGAAGAGTAATCAATATCAATGTTCGCTTATTGCTGGCGATTTCACTGACATGAATTCTTACCACCATTAATCCTATAGGATTGCACAAATTGTGAAACAAAATTGAGGTTGCTGTCCAATCCTAAAATCTATTTATTTTATTTTAAATCTAACCTCTCAGCTAAAACGTAAATCAGGAGACAGTGAACCCCAAAAGCCAAGTTTCTAAACTGCAGGAGCCATTTTCTCTTCACCAGCATACAAGCTTTCCAATGTGCGTTACCGCTGTTAAGAACACTAGAAATCACACCATAAAAAGTTTGACAGTGTAACATTAAAAGACCAAACACTCCTAATGAAAATTTCTGAAAGAAAAGGAAGACTGGGAACTCAAGCTGTTGCACAGCTGAAGTATTTTATATTCATCTTTTTTAATTAATTGTCCATCTTAATAAGTTCTTTATGAGCCTACAACATAGAAAAATATAAATATATATAAAACTACCTCTTAACAGCAATGTTAAGAACATAAGCTAGAAAAATTTAAGAATCTCTCTCAAATTCATTTATTTATTAGCTCTGTCTTATGCTTAAAAGAATTTCAATTGCTGCACTAAACCCAGTATATTGTTAGCACTGAACATGGCTCTTAGCACTATGCACAGAATTGCCTGGAAGCCAACAGCTAATATTCTTTACAAAAAGGAAGAAATACTGATTAAACAGTTAATATATTCCTCAGAATTTTATCTTGTGCAGAAATACAAATAAAAATCTCATCACAGGATTAAAAGCCAAATGAAAAATTTCACTTGGGAGTCAGTCAAACAAAATTAAGACAGACTGAATACAACTAATATCCAGAGAACAAACGTCCAAATAACTTTAATGACTTGGTTAACGCAGAATACTATACTAGAAAACCACATAGATGTTTTTCCTTCAAAAACCTTTAAGAACATTTAAAAGGTCATGATAAATGATTATATCATTTTAAGACAGAAGCTAATTTACTTGAATGTATCATAACGGCAGAAACATTCTTCTACATTCCAAGTTAGCAAGTATCACTAAAAAGATCTAAAGTTTTTTTCCTCACCTTCTTCACTAACACACAAATGTGACACAAAACAAGAAACAAAAAAATCATAAACTTCAGTTAATGGAAAATCAAGAATCTCTTAAATGTTCATTATTTCACCTTCTACTAACAGAGTCATGAAAGTATACTTGAAGCATCAGCAGCCAATTACTTCTGAGAAAGAAAAAGACTGTAATATTGAGTCATTTCTTGCAATGTAGGGACTAAACTCGAGTACCAGTTCAAGAAGTTGACTTAGCGTAGATCATGTCACATCCCTACAACACGTTGTACTGCCACAAAGATACACCTGGCCTAAACCTAAATACTCAGACTCATGTGTCAAAAGCAATCCAAATGGCATTAGCACAGCATTTTAACTAATGTGCTCAAAATTGCTTTCAGGACATTGTATACCATCCTACTAACTCAAGGTTGGTAAATATTTACAGAAAACCAAGTAGGTTTTACTAAAGGAAAGCAATGCCACATGTGCTCTGCTTGCAGAGTAAGGAATCAAACATGGTAATGCTGCCATAGCTTAAAAACATACTGCAAATTAGCCCAACTGTGTAATAGCCCACAGCAATGTAATATAACTCAACTTGGTGTAAGAACTTCTTTTGCGACAGGCTAAACCAAGTCAAACTCTCTCTCCTTTATCACAACATAAAAAGTACACAGTAAGATTGCTGGGGCTGAACAGATGTACGGTTACTTGCTAAGCCTTGGTGTAAGTCTAGGCAGTCAAACCTCCCAAAGTTATGCAACAGAGTTCAATACTTCAGAGTAGGGTTGTTTTGTTTTTTTTTTTTTAATATCACAAATGCATGTCACATTTTAACTACACTCTTAAATCAAAACACATAAACCAACTTTTAAAGCCTGTTAAACAGAAGCAACCATGTTCTTCTTTAGATTTAAATTACTCCAACATAGCAATAAACCAAGCAAACAAAAAACCAACACATTTTTTTGCCATAGCCAGTGATATCCTAGGAGTATTTGAGAATTTTCTGCATTTGGTTCTTTGAATTGTTCCAGGACTCGTTCCTCAAAAAAGATTTGAATCGCCAGAGTGAATGAGTTCAGAACAAGAGATCTAACTTCAAAGCAAGATCCTTTTTCAAAGGGGCTTTTGGAGGATGTTTTATATTTGGAATACTTAAATTTTCTGGCAAGTAGTCCCGGTTTAATATTGGGTAAGAGTAGTTTTTTTCCTCCTCCTCCATTGAACCTAGGAGGGATGGCAGATTCTATTTTAGGAACAGCTTTGAAGATAAAGAGCTGGCAACAGCACAATTAAAACACAGGCCTGAAGAAACCAAATCCACAGCTCTTAATCGTTATTTTCGAATCTACTCGAAGCACGGAAGGATGTTGAAGGAGACCTTCTGAACAAGTGTATGTCATAAACCTGTCTGTAAGCCACAAGACTAAAGCCAAACCTGCTTGCTAAATCTGTAACACATGTGTATTTCTTTCACCTTTGAAAAGCTCAACAGGTGAGGGGTTTCACAGGAACAGTCCAGTACACCTATGTGGCGTCCCTGCACCAAGCGCGTTTGGGGTGTCTGTGGGGGTTCCTCTCATGCTTTTAACAATATACAACTTAGATCACCTTTTCTGTACCACAATTACAATTAGAATAATTACATTCTAAAAACTTGCAATGCATTACCTGTATTATTTTATCAGAAAGGTTTTAATACAGCTTAAAACTGCATGCAGCTAGCATTAGTGTCACATTCCTTTCCCTTCTGTCCCCCCTGCAGTAAGGAAACATTGCAAAATAGCCAGAGCAGTACCGTATTCTCTCTTCAGACACTATTTTTTATATTTACTCACAAGAACTTGGAAAAGGGCACAGAATTATTTAATCTTTAAATCTCTTCTCTCTGAAGTTTTCTAGGTTGCACCATTTTGTGTGTGACAATCACTGATGAAAGCCAGAGCTTGCCAGGCAGTAGGAGTTAATAGTTTTAAAATCATCAGCAGCAACTGAAGAAAGCAGCCTCTACTACGAAGACTTAAACCCTATAAAGCCCCACACAAAGTTGTTGCACAGAAATAATAGTGTTACTTCCTTGCTTGTATGTAAGAGTATTAACAGAGAACACAATAGCAAAGAAACTGCTTAGCATGATTTCAGAACAAGTCAAGCAAAGGAATGCAAGGAACAAAAGGAGAAAATACGGAAAGAGGCTCCACCTTAAATCAGTCTCTTCTATAAACAAGTCCTTCACTTTCCTACTCAAATACTTGCCAAGGTTTCTCCATCTATTTTCATTTCTCCCTGACTAGCTCCTTGCTAAGTGCTTTTCAACTTAATTCCTTAAAATGACAACACTCAGGTAACTGCACTATTTGTGCAAATGCCCATGACACTCCTCCCAGTTACTTCCATAAATATCAAGTCTCAGTAAATACTCATTAAGTATCAGTAAATTTCAAGCCAGATTTAACAATGAGAAGAGTTCTCAAAGAGCTTTGATTCCTCTAAGATTCACAGGCACAGGATGCTTGATAAAAACATCAGGTGCTAATAAGACCTCTGACTGAAAGGATACGGCACAAATGCAATTATCATCAGACCTTTGGGAATTCATACATACTTGTGAGGGGAAAGGGGAATTAAAGCTTCTGTTACTGCTTTGACCTTAGACATCGGAGAATCCAACTTCTGACACAAATCCATGCTATGCCATACTTTTAGTTCAAAAGTTTGTGGAATGATTTGTTAACACGTACCTCTCAATAACATTAACAGCAGTTGAATTACAGAAAACAGCTTCTCACTTCAAACATTTTCAAGGACACAAGATCCAACATTCAGTCTTTAGGTAATTATTTACTACTTAGGATTACGCTTACTGGGAAAGTAAAGACAAAAGCTTCTGTTTCTGCCTTGCAGATATATTTAAGAAACAAGTAGAACACAATATTCTGAAATTCTGCACATATAGCCAAATGTGCATAGAACGCGCTGTCTTTAATTCATTATCATCAAGCATTTGATGATAATGCATGTCTCATTTTTCACATCCTGTGTAGTGCAGGATATTTACCTGGTGGGGGAATTAGAGGTGGAGCAGTACTGACAGTTGGAGGGGGTGGGAGGAAAGGAGGTGGTGGAAGGTGGGTAGGTGGAGCTCCTGGAGGGAAAAATGGAGGTGGCTTGGTAAAATTGTCTACTTCAGGATTAGATCGTTCTGAAAGAACCTGTAAAATATCAAACTATAGTTACAATTGCTATGCCAAAAGGGTAGAAGACAGGTTTCCTCTCTTTCCAGTTACTACAACAGGAAAGTATTACTTATGCACCCAAAGAGCCATATTCAGATGGTTTAAGTTCTATCTGCATCCCTAGGTTAAGTGTGCCATACTTGCCAAGTACCTCTGAGGGTCCAATAGGGAACAACAAACATAAGATTTGAGAGGGAATATAAGCCATCTGAATATGGCCCAAAACACCATCTTAAATTTCTATCAAGGAAAATATTTTAAAAATCAGTATGAAAAGCATTAAAAACCCCAAGACTTTAAATTACTTAAAAACTGTGAGATCAGCTGAAAAACACATGGCAGTGTTTTCAATGTAACATTACAATCCATTATTATTTTCATTGTTTAACCTTAACCTAAATTGGCATGGAAATGCAGCTGGGGCACCAAGCAACCTTGATTCTTCTCCACAGGTAAGTCAGCAGAGAAAAAGCGCATTCAATCTTAATGCATTTAGTTGCTTTCTTAAAATAATCCAAGCCCATAAAGACTAATCTTAGAATTTATGGTAAAATAATACAAGATAATTAAAAAAAAGTACTATCAGCTACTTATTTCTTCACAACTTATTTTTAAAAGACTGCATTTCCCAAACAGCATATGAAGAGGCTTTCACTTTCAGCATTAGTGTCTGGCAGGAATATGGGAGAAATGGACAGCCAGTTTAAATATTGATCTTTGTCAGTTAGTAAACAAAACACTATCCCATGCAGATCTAGCAGAGCCAACGCTGTCTCCTCGATCGTAAGTCCACAGCATTGCTCATTTCCTTTCAGTAAGAAGTATACCAAAGCATGTATCTTTTGAAATATATCAAAATATTTCACCTTAATATATTTCAATTAACTGCCAAAACTTTCTTCCTGAACTTAAAGCTACTTCATACACACTGAAATGGTTTAATCAGAAGCTATGGGGAAAGCAAAAATGTCTTTTAGTCAAAGATAGTGTGCAAATCTGTGGTATAAAACCTGTATGTTGCTGTTTTCATTAGCACGCCGTCGTCCTTCCACCCTGCTGATAGTGATGGTCTGTCCAATCACATCTATTGTGCCAGCTAATCGCCTGCAAACAGATCAACAAGCAGAATTAGAAAAGGGGAAAAAAAAGAAAAAGAAAAGAGAGAGGAGAAAGTCTTATTGACTTATCTCATTCTAAATGCCAAAAGTTCCTTCTCTTGTCTAAAACATAAAAGATCATTTCTGAAAAACATTAAATGTGATACATTTGCTGAACTATGCAAGTGTGTAGAAATAAATAATGCAGTAATAAAGGCTGACTCTCCACATTATCCTTCCATCCCCTACAAGATAATAAATCTACACTTCTGTGATCGATAAAAGAAAAAAAGGAACAATACAGTGAGATCACAAAAAACCTCAGTAATAAACATATATATTAAACAGAACTTCTATGAAAATCTGAAGTAAAATAATAAATAAACTAATAATTAGAAATAATTTCTAAACTGCAAGAAACCATACTGGAGGATTCCATGGCAGATCAAATGAAGGTAAGTTAGGAGGCAGAAGTAAACATAAGCCAATCCTACCATGCATACTACCAATATTGCAGCAGATACTGAATAAAATCAGCCGCCATCTCCCTTATCTTGGAATACTCAGTCATAATATCAAACAGAAAGTATATGAAACTAGTAGACACTGACTCTTAAAACCTTGAATGAAACTCAAAGGAATCTTAGACCAGCCATTCATACTGCTGTTCCTCAGTCTTCCAAATGCAAAAGGTCTCTCTCTAAAACATTTGCATAGCTTAGCACTGTGTTCACCTTCTTTAAAGAAACCAGCAACAGAGCAGCACAAGATCCATCTCAGTCTCCCTTACAAACCAATCAGGTAGCAGTAGAACATAATTAAGAACACCTACCTTAGAAGTAGTTAGTAATGGGTTTTTAGAGAAAGATGACAAGAAAATTGACATGCATATACACATTCTTTCCCTCCTGGTTTCTTGCCAATCAAAAATTTAAGGACTTTTTTAATAGCCCATGATTAACCTGCATTTGCACAATCTCTTTTGAACACACTTTTACTTTTGATCTCCAGTGATGAGACCTGTTTCAGCTATTTTTTTTTGCCTGACAATTGTATTTGGTGCCCTACAGTCCTTGTGTTAAAAAAAAAAATAAAAAAAAAAAAATCTCTCCTCATATAGAAGTGACTCTATAACTTTCATTATTTATTTCATCTTTTTGTGGACCCTTCCTACCTCTCCTGTATCTTTTCTTGTCTGACGTAAACAGAACCACAGACAATACTTAGCTCTCAATGCATCACGGCTTTATGTGCTACCATAATGACTTTTCCTAGTTTGCTCCCCACTGCTAATGATGATTACCATTCCATTTTCTTATTTTGGCTAACACTGGGAATTGAACTAACATTTTGGGAAGCAGCAACAATAATTCCAAGATCTCCTTCTCAATGGGTATTGGTATTAATTATTAATCATTAATTTGAAGAAGTGCATCTTATTTAGAATAACACAATGTAGGATTTAAATTTGCCGTGTTTCAGATTTCAGCGTTGCAGATTTCAGTTCACTATGAACAAGTTATGCCAACCCACACTGGAGTCAATGTGTGAATTTTAAATGCAAATGTATCTCACTTCAGTTTCCAAACCAGTCAATCTATTAAGCTTACACCTGTTAGAATTAAGTTGTTCCTACTATAAAATTCTTAACTTCTATACACATTTTCATATAGTCTGTTAAGAGAGGTATCTTTAAGCCCCCCAAACCATCTGATATTGTGGCCATATAGCTGTCAACTGCAACTTTTTAACTTTTCAAAGCAGATTAAAAATGCTACACTGAAGGTAAAGACATGATGGCATTCCACTAGACACAAACACTAGAATTTAAAGCATAATCAATCTCTCAAAATCTTAAATTAATCAACCACATGGGAATAATCAACAATAAAGAATGGTTTCAGGCACCAGACTAGAAAGTAACATGACAAGGATCTGAATGTCACCTACTAAAACTAAAACCCAGTACCTGTGACAATGCAGAACCCCTATTTTGAAGAAAGAAAGTCTAATGAACTTTTTTGAATGAATGTTTGCAGCCCCAAAACAAGTGAAACCCAGAAACCTAGCTTTATAGAGAATTTATAATTCTATTATGCAGATAGAACAAAACCTACCTGCTTTGCAGCCCACGGTTAATTTCTAAAAGATGTTAAAAAGCAGGGTTCACCTAAGTCAACTCTGTTAGAAAATGAGGTACAAAATTACATTTCTAATGGAGGAGAGAAACAAAAGTACATTTGTGTCACACCTATAACGGAAACCATAGTAGAGAAAACTGACAATATTTGCCAATAGCATGGCACATAACAAAGTAAAAGAAAGACTGAGAAAAAACTTTAAGGAGATTTCGGAAAAGAAATTCATGGAAGAAAAAAAAATATTTCTAGTTTTAGAAGACAAGTTCTTGTATTTTTTGTATCTAGTGGACTGCTAACCACGTTAATACAAATAGCAGGGAGAACAGCTGGATGTTCGGATTAGAGGCTCCAAGTTCTGCCGGACGATAGCTCTGACCCCAATTGCTCAAATAACTGGATTCCAACGCCACTAAAAAAGACACAGCAGACACTACAGCATGAAGGACCAATTAGATCTCCCGGAGATAATCTAAAGTTCTTTGGCAAGACTGCATACTGAGGATGATCCAAATGCCTGTCCTCTGAGCTTTTCGATATCTGGATTTAGAGCTTCCGCCTGGATTTTAAAGCAAGCTCATTAAGCACAACAGTTTGGAGGAAAAAAAAAAAATCCAGTGGTACAGGAGTCTGAGAACATATCTGCAAACTAGAACAGTATATACTATACAGCAGCCTCTCCAAGGATAACCCAAGTTCAAGAAATTCTCTGATCTTCTAACATCCCATCCTAAAACTCAGATTGTTTCAGTCTAAATTCTGAAATAATCAACACCTGCTTTATTAATTCTCCCCAGTGGTCTTGCATGGTATTCCAGCACTGCCGCACTTTGGATGATTATTATTTTGCTTTCAGTAACTTAAGTTGGAAACATAGGTACTATAAAACAATTGTTAAACCAACTGTTTCACTATCAAAAAAAAAAAAATAAGGACAGGTGAATTTTTGTAAAACAAGAAAACTTTGTCTCAGTCTTCCCTCTGACAGCTCATTCGGTTTCAGAGTTCTAGGACATCGGTTCTCTTGCATCGCTCGTCTCTTCTCTGAAATATCTAAAATCGTACCCTAGAAAACTCATTGTACCTAGCTTTAGTCTTTGTGTATGGCAGATGACACTCTTCTACAGCAAAAAGTCCCTCCTCAGGTGACCCCCAGCTTGGCTCACTCCTGTGTTTTACAGGGTTTCCACTCAGGAGTGATGTACTTCAAATTAAGACTCTTCCTCTCTTGCACTGTTTGCACACTGCCAGCAACTCATGGAATCAGCACTGAAAACATAGGCTATGGACACCAAGGCAAGAGTACTGGGCATTAAAGGAATACATGCATCAACCATACTACAATAATACCAATTTTGGCTTGAAAGCAGCCCAAATACAACACTGTATTAACAAAGCAAGCAAATCTAGACTACTGGTTGGTTCCTAGACATCAACTTTACTGAAATGAACAGGGCTTTCATTTCATTTTTCTAGAGTCTGAAGAGTACACCTATGCTCACTCATGAGCTAGTGCTTTGTAATTATTTTTTTAATAGTGTTTTGTAGTGGTATGTCCATTGTTCTTTCCAACAGCTGCCAAGAGATTTGATTTTTGTAATGATGGATGAGTTCGGGAATTTGCCATCATACTTGAACTTGACAAATTCTGTTTCCAAGACCGCAATAATGATTTCAAAAGTACTCCACTAAAAGAGCTTGAAACTGAACAAGAGAAAGCATATGTTCAGTTGCAAATGGAGAAGCAGATGACACCACTGTCAAAAATGTAATCTTCACAAAGGCA